CAATCCTTTGCACCTTGGGAAGCATTTCTGAATTTGGCTGGAGCTCTGGTAGTGTAGTGGTTACAAATTGGATTGTGAACCTTAAAGTCAGCAGTTCGAAACTACCAGCCACTCCATGGGAGAAAGATGAGGGTTTCTGCTCCCGTAAAGATTTACAGCCTTGGATACCCTGTGCAGGGTCCCTATGGGTCAGAACCGACTCGATGACTCTTAACAACGACAACAATCCCATCTCTTATCCTTACTTCTGGATATTGAGTTTTGTGTACCCTACTCTTCCTTGTATTTTGTAAATCTCATATGTTGTACAATCCCAAATTAACCACACCAAAGCTCTCATGCCTACTTGTAATAAGTTTTTCTGTGTTGGGGAAAAGAATTCACTTCTGAGTTGAAGCCCATTTTCATTAACTCTAGTCCTATCCATTCTTTAAAATGTGGCACTATAGGGTAAGCAGTGCATCACAAGATTGGTTTGAACTGCAAGGTCCATGGTTTAAACTAACCAGTCACTCCTCAGAAACCCTATACAGGGTCACTATGCATTGGGAATGACTTGATGGCTCTCAACAACAACAACATAGAACTCTTTGAGGAGTTCTTTGATAATCTGTCATTGACCTTTCAATTCCTAGCCCTATTCACCAGCTTCATTATACTTGCTGCTTGCATCATAGGTATTTGTGAGCATTTCTCCCTTCTTGTATGATAATTGCTAGTGGTTTGAGACACAGGAGTTGTATCTTATATTATCTCTGTGCTTCACTCATAGTAGATGCACAGTAACCATGTTTATTTCTCCTTGTATGTTTTCTTTAGTTTCTTTACTTGATTACACTTAGAGTCTGACATTGCCACTGCTATGTACATGCATAGTAGATCTATTGGAGTGCAGGGACCTGGGGCAGGAAATGAGAATCTGTTCAGACTCCCTATTCTAATTCTGCCCCAACACCACTTCTGAGCCCTTTTATTCAAATACAAGTAGGCTTATTCTCTGCAGATAGTGAAGAGTGAGAGAGAGGTTACTTGAGTCCTTAGTGTTTGCTTTGAAATGTGCCTGGACTGGTGAGCACTTAGGAGGCTTCCTTTCAAATCCTGGAAATTAAACTCATTCTTTTCCTTATTCTTGTCTTCCTCCTCAGAATCTCTCAGACCTTGCTCCCAAGAAAGAGGTTACCATACCCTGACTCTGTGAGCAAAATAGTCTTATTTCCTCTATAGCCTTTGCTCAGCACCATGGACGAGGCTCAAAAGGGTAATTTCTTTTGCCTCCCTCTTTCTTCCCAGGTCTTTGGCACATCTGAAGTCTGGTGAAGCTAGGCATATTAATTATAAACAAGCCAAAGGAGGGGAGAGAAGGGCAGCCCTGTCTTGTGAATTTCAATCTTTATATCATAAATTGGACCCTCTGGTTGTCTAAGTGTCCTACATAGAAAGAGTTTTCTTTTCTTGGCAAAAAGGCCTTATGCACAAACCAGGTTAACACTTGCTGGAATGTAACTTATTTAGGTATTCCAGTCAGCCTCATAGATTTCAGAGGGGTCTTTATTTGACTTTTTATTGCAAATGGGTTTGGTCAAGTCAATATTGTGAGATAGAATAGTGGAAAAAGCCATGCTATTCTCTTCTTTTGATTTTTTTTTTTAGTATACACATTTTATATTCTGCCTTTAAAGCTATTTCTGCTGCACAGCTGCTTTACTGAGACTCAGACTCCTACGGGCCTGCTCGGTTCGACATGTACCTTGAATATCCTTTCACAGTGTTTGATTTCTGCAGTCGGTTGTGTAATGAGGAAGGAGTGTGTGGAGAGTTTGGAGATTCCTATTAACCAGGTCATCCATGAATCTATTTTTGTGCACTTCTTTATTAGAAATAGAAGGGAACATGGTGATATTTAAACATAACCGCTTATAAGAGCTTGCTTAAAAAATACACCTTTGTACGTTTTCTTTTCTTATATGGTATTTAAAAATGTTGTACTACATTTTCCCATCATCAAAACACTTCTTCTCCATTTATATTCCAATTTGTGAATAGAGACCATTACAAATGACAATTGATAGAAAAATCCAAGCTTTGGATTCTCTGTCCCTGTTAGATCATATCTGGAGTACTCTATTTTGTTCTGGGCAATGTTTTTGAAGATGGATCCTAATTAAATAGTTACAGACCAAGATGTTAAGACAGGGTAGGGATTGGGAGTAGATAGAAAGGAACTATCTTTAAACAGATGTCCCCTGGGTAGAGAAAATGTTTATATACTTAGCTATTAACCAAAGACTTGGCAATTCTAATCCACCCAGAAGTGCCTTCAAAGAAAGGCCTGGCATTTTGCTTCCTAAAGATCAAAACTATTGAAAAACCCACTAAGTACATACAGTTCTACTCTAACTTCATACACAACGGAGCATCATGAGTTGGACTCAATACGCTGGCATGCTTTTTAAAATATCTTCAAACAGGTGAGGGAAGATTTCTCATGAAAAGAGGGTAGAATTGTTCTGTATTTTTCTCAAATAGGGAATCAATCTATGAAAGTGACAATGGGAAAGATTAGGATTCAACATAACAAAACCCTGAAGATAAGAACAGCAGTACTCCGAATCAGTTGCCATGTGAGATAGTGAGACCCCAGGCACTTTGGGTACTGAACTCCAGGATGACCAGGCAGCTGTCAAAGGATTCCTCCAGAAATAACAAGCTCATGTCAGATGTGAGAATCTGTGGTCATTAGTATCTGGTATAACTATTGGTTACTCGAGACATTGTAAAACCACAGCTACTGCTGTCCCATAGGGTCATAAATTGTGAATCTTTTTGTTTTGCTGAATAAAAGTAGAAGGAATGGGCTATTACAACCAAGGCCAAGGACTGAAAGGGAGTTTGGAGTTGTTGAGGCAGGCAGCCTCTTACTTCAGCCAGATATTTTGCTTATGTGGCCCAGTCACATATTTAGATGGCTTTAAAAATCATGTAGAATGAACCACAATCCTTTATTTTATTGCATAGGTACCTTTCATCAAGATACCATAAATATATGACAAGAATCCTTTTCAAATGAAGAAAGATTTATAACTCATACAACATCTTCTCATATGTTTGTCTTAATGATATTTAATGCAACTCTCTAAGAAGGCATGGCAAACATCATTTCAGTCTTAAAAGAAAGGAAACTGACACCTAGAGGGTTGAGTGACTTGGCCGATATCATGTAGATAGCAAGTAGTAGTAGTCCTTGGATAGATCTAGTGCATGGGAATTGGTATCAGACAACTGAAGCAGCATTTCTGGACATGCCAGTAACCAACAGTATGACTTTACAGACAGTTTTATATGTAAAGTTAAGGGGGGGGGGTAGTAAGATGACAATCAAGGTACACAGTGGAGTTGTCTATTCCCTATTGTCTGAGATTTCTTTGCTTCCTTATAATATATGCTGCCTGGCACACTCATTACTTTGAGGCTGGGAGGTGAGATGCTGGAACAAAGAGCAGTGTGTGGGTTGTATGAAAGAATTTGGGGTGTGCTGGTTTGTGTTTCTAGGATAGTAACATTATTCTTCAGCTGCTATGAGACCTGTTTGTGATAAATCACTTTCACAGGCTTGAAACATTGGTTCCAATTTGATTCAGAGTTTGGAATTTGAGGATCAGTTTATTTACTTTTGTGGCTCAATTGTGGTGTGGAGTGGTGGTGGCAACCTTTATGAATTTCAGCAACCCTAAGAATAGAAGAGACGGTTCTGAAATGTGAGATCTCCTGCTCACATTTCAGAGTATAAAGTTACAAGGAAAGGTATAGATAGTCTTTTTTATCTCTAACATTTGTAAGTATAATTCCTGAACTCAAAATTAACTTGTTTTCCTAACTACAAATGTATGTTATTGTAGATGATTTAAAAATGCGAGAAAATTGCAAAAGCAATTACCTATAAATGCCCCAATATAACTGATATAACTTCTTAAAATGTTTATCTACTTCCCTGTACATATTTTTAACAAATTTAGCAAAATATTGTACATGCTGCTTTGTAAACTTCTTTTGTAGGTAGTGAGAAACTATTTCCTATTAATATCTTCGGTGGTGGTGAAGGTTGTATGTGCCATTGAGTCAGTTCCAACTCATAGAAAAACCCTGTATAGGATTTCTGAGGCTGTAAATTATGGAAACAAAAAGCCTCATCTTTCTCCCAAGAAGTGGCTGGTAGATTTGAACTGCTTCCCTTTCGGTTAGCAGGCCAACACATAGCCCACTACACTACCAGGGCTCCTTATCCTCTTACCTAGCTATTAAAAACCAATACTAGTCATTTAAAAGAATAATTTGATGTTTTGAATTTGGATTTGGGAGCTAACTAGTATTCTATTTAGTCTATTGATATATCAACATTTGTTAAGCAATTTTTTTTTGTTGGTTGCTTTCAACTTTTTGTTATATTTTGGGTAGTATCTTCTCACATTTATCTTTGACAAAGCTTTAGGTACATTTGATTTATTTAAACAGAAACATTTAAACTGTATTTCTGTTTCTTAAGGTACTAGCAACTCTATTGGGTATTTATGAGAAACATATGTACTATACACTTGCTTTATAGTTGACTCCCCTGGTACACTGTGGATAGGTGGTGAAGTACTAACTGCAAAATTGATGGTTCAAACCCACCAGCCACTCCACAGGAGGAAGATGAGGCTGTTTACACCTGTAAAGATTTACAGTCTCACATGCTCCTTTGGGCTTTGTGATGACCAGATGAGCTTTTGTGAAAACACTTTGGAATCTTACACAGAATCACTATGAGCTGGAATTGTGTTTGGTTTGGGTTATGGATATGACAGCAGCAAGGATTTAGGGGCATCTCTACCACAGCTACGAATATTAGACCTGATGCTGTCATCTGGTGTTTTTCATATTGTTAATGTCCTTCATCAAGAGCAAAGCAATAGACTCACTTTTTTTTTTTTTTTTCTTTCCTTCTCTTGATTCTTTTTAGCCTGATGAAGTCCTCCGATATTGATCAGGATTTATTTACAGACAGTTACTGCAAGGTGTGCAGTGCACAGCTGATATCTGAATCTCAGCGTGTGGCCCATTACGAGGTAAGGACAGCTTTCCCCACAAACTGTTTTAAAAAGGGATAAAGGATAATCTGTGTCCTGGTTGTATTCCTCTAGGATATACCCTTCTTGTAAGGTTTTACACACCACAGGGCTTGAGGCTTTACAGTCTGAGATCTTACCAGAACACATGATACATCAGACAGACCACAGTAAAACCAGTATTATAATAAGTGGATTCCACATATGTTTTGGTTTCATGCAGGGAGTGTACTGGATTTGACCTATGGGTACAGTTTGCTGATTCCTATTCCAAAAGTGTGTACGTTAAAATTTCATTATATATATATATATATATATATACACACACACTCTGGTAGCGTAGTGGTTGCGAATTTCAAGGTCAGCAGTTCGAAACTACCACCTGTTCCACAGGAGAAAGATGAGGCTCTCTGCTCCTATAAAGATTTACAGCCTTGGAAACCCTGTACAGGGTCGCTATGAGTTGGAACCGACTCCATGGCACATAACAACAACAACAATATATATGTATATATATATATATATATATATATATATATTTTAAAGTGTTTTGGTTTTCCAGTGCATATAAAACTTGTTTATACTTCACTGGAATCTAATAAGGAGTATTGGTGGTGCAGTGAGTTAAGCTTTGTGTTGCTAACCGAAAAGTCAACAGTTCAAACCTACCAGCCACTCCATGGAAGAAAGACGAGCTGTCTGCTTTTGTATAGATTTACAGTTTCAGAAACCCAAAGGAATAGTTCTACTCTGTCTTAGAGGGTTGCTATCAGTCAGAATTGGGTAGTTTATTAAGTTTATTAAGTGTGTGGTAGTATTATGAAAAAGACTGGCATATTTTGAGAATTACCAAATGTGACACAGAGATATCAAGTAAGCATGTGCTATTGGGAAACATGATACCTATAGACGTACTTGATGCAGTGTGGCCACAAGTCTTCAATTTGTAAAGCTGTGCAATATCTGCACAGCATAGTCAAGTGAAGTGCAATGAAACGAGTCATGCCTGTACATGTGCAGGGTTGGGGAGGGGCCATCATTCTCAGGCTCTGGCCTGTGCGCCCAAAATGGTTTTTGTTTTTTTAGAGACAAAGTGGGCTTTCTCTACCTACTAACTCTGTCATTGCTCATCCTTGAGGTTCTTTTCCAGGATGCAGGGCAGGATGCATTAGTATCAGCTCCTCTTTCCTTCTTTCATCCTGAAGACAAGCTCAGAGGCCCTTTGTTAATCACTGTAGAGAAATATGATCATGTGAGTGATTCAGTAACAATGAGTCCACTTGAACCCATCAATTTTCTTCTGCCTGATTGCTCATGCCCTAAATGGGTTTATCAGAGATATGTAACAAAGTTTTTAAGTCCATATAGTCTTAAAGAGCATATATCAGTGACTTTGGCTTTTTGAATGGAAGGACAAATAGCTGATTTTGGGTTTTCTGTTGGGAGTTCAACTACTAACCTAAAGGTTGGTGGTTTGAATCTACCAAGTAGCTTTATGGGGGAAAAATGTATGGCACAATCTGCTTCTGCAAAGGTTCTACTCCTTGCCACATGGAATTGCCATGATTTGGAATTGACTCAATAGCAACTTTTTTTTTTGCTTTTAATTGGGAACAGAGGATTAGGGAAGAAAGATTGGCTTGTGACTGAGGAGGGAACAAGGTACAGAAGATGGAGTAAAGGGGAAACAGGGCTCCCAAGGTGATCAGGATGCCCAAGGCATGTTCTGTTTTCAAGAAAACGTATACCAGTGGGAACATGAATTTTCAAGTGTAATAACTTGTAAGTAATTTTAGATTGGAGGGCTTAGCCAGCAATTTTCTTTTTGTTTGATGAATCTGACAAATGCCAGTTGTCACTGTCACTCACCAAATTCCTCCGAGCCTCAGATGGTTCAGTGCACAATGAAAATAATCATAATGTCACATACATGGGCACAGAGAAAGACACAATGACCCTGCATGCTCCTTTGGGCTTTGTGATGACCAGATGAGCTTTTGTGAAAACACTTTGGAAACTAAAGTATGACACACATGCAAAATTATGTTATTATGCATTATTAACTTCTTGGTAGCAGTATTTTGATGAGTCAAAAAAAATTTACTCTTCAGAGAAAACTTAAAAATCGTCATCTCTGAAAATGTGGATTCTTTCGTCACTTTTAATGTGAAAGAAAAGGAAAGAAGGGTATCTAATGAAATTTTGAAGTTTCTAGTTTCCAGAGGCACTGCTTTATAAACACAAGTGGTTTATTTAAACATAACTAATTCCCCTTACCTCCCCCAGTTAAGGAAATCACGGATCTATCATTGCACAGGCTCTTACTAGTTACTTATTTTCATCCTTTATTATAATTCCTCTGTTCATTTTGAATCATTTTACTGGATTTATCTGTCTTGAGAACAAATACTGAGTGTTCTCCATTTGGCCCCCCATAATCCCTAGAACAGTAACTTGTATAAAATTAGTATTCAGTCAGCATTTGTGAGATGGATGAATGTATTACAAATATATGCTTTTGATTGCCCAGCACTTCTTTGTTGTCACCTGAGTTAGAAAAGTCATATCAGGAAATTGTAAACAATTAAGAAAAACAAAGAAAGACGATCTAGTTAGTTGCTCAGTCAAAGATTTAGTTATTTGATCTCAAGATTTTTTGTTAACACACTGTACTCTTGCTGTGGCACGTTTTAATTGTTTAGAAAATGTGTTAGTATTTGTTGAATGTAGCATAGATGAGAGAGAAAATAAAGCAATTACAATAGATCTGCAATTAACAGTGTTACACATCATCAAAACCACATTAAATGCATTCCCATTAAATGTGGATAGGAACAGCTGAATGATGTTACACTCCCTGCCTTCTGGCAAAGGTGGGACCCTTCCTTCAGTGAGAAAACTAGCATGTGTAGTTTTGGTGCAAAGCTGCATCGGGCTGGGTAAAGGGTACTGTCAGGATATCCAAAACCAAACCCACTGCCACTGAGTAGCTCTCAACTCATGACAACTCCATGGATGCTGAGTAGAACTGTGCTCCACTCCATGGGATTTTTAAGGCTGTGGCCTTTCAGAAGCAGATTTCCAGGCCTTTCTTCCAGGGTGTCTCTAGGTGAACTTGAACCTCCAACCTTTCAGTTAGCAACTGAGAACTTAGCCAGTTGTGCAACCTGGGAATTTCTGTAAGGAGATCTTATTATACTCTCTGGTCTACAGTTAAGGAGATTTCTACCATTTCCAATTCATTATCTCCAAAAGGATAGCTTGCATTAGAGGATCTCTAAGACCATTTGAGAACTAATATTCCCTGTGTAGGGAAAATATTAAGTATTTGACTACATCGTGCTGTTAGATTCTTAAGTCTTTGCACATTCCAAATTCAAACAAGTGAAGCATCACTAAGAGTTATTGTGGTCAAGGAAAACTTCCTGGGGCTTGTCAGGACTTAATAGGCCTTAATGGAATGATTAAGTTTTGGAGTTTCTAGAATGAGAAGTCTTGGTGTCATCAAGGACCATTGAGGAGGTGGCCCTGACTAGACTGGAGGATTTGCTAGGCAAAAGAAGTGGGCAGCAACATGTATAGGTAGGGTATGCTCAAGGTATAAAGGAAAAGAGAGTTTGGACTCCTGTCTTATCAGCGGGATGAGACTCAGGCAATTGAGAATGTGACCTTATGACTGAATGAACATTTCTAAATGGCAGACAGCCAGTGGTGGTCAGTTTTTTGTTGCAGAAGAGAACTTTTGAAATGACTTTAAAACGAAAAAAATAATTTTTTATGACAATAGTGTTCCAGCCCTCTGAAGTAAGAGAGAAAGAAAATAAGAACAGATGAGTTAATGCCTAACAGTTATATGCCCCATTTAAAAGGGTGAACCTTTGTACAGGAGGACAGGAAAGCCCAGCATATATTTAATAGACCAAATCTTTCCACATTATACTTTAAACATCTTTTTGCCTATGTAGTCATGAAGTGAAAATAAAAGAGAAACATAAGGACGTTATTATTTTTCTTACTTGCTAAGCATTAATAACATGTTAATGTTTCAGTGGAAAATATAATTAGATGTTGTTTCTGCTTACTGGCTGAATAGTCTGAATCAATAGAACAAGTAGACTCCGACACAGAGCGAAGAAAAAGCTTTAAAGGAGAGTTTCCCAGGGGGGCTACTTGCATAGTTTGCTGGAGTGGCTGAAGAGTAAATTTCTGAAAGGGAAAGAGTTGAGTGTGGGGGGTGGCTGTTCTGGCCTGTAAAACGAAGATGCTTTTTACAGGGTAGACCATGAAAAAATGAATCAAAGGACAGAAAATGAGCTGGACTGTAAAGTCGGTTTGAACCGCAAAGTCAGTGGTTCAAACTTACTGGTTGCTCCTTAGAAACCTCATACAGTATCGCTATGGGTCGGAATTTACTTGACGGCACTTAAAACAACAGAAATATATATATATATATATATATATATATAATTATTATTATATATATTATTATACATATATTATTGAAAGATTCTCTGGGAAAATTATTGAATGATACAGAAAGCATCTAGAGAAAATGGAAGGAATATACAGAATCACTGTATATGTTTAATGTTCATCTGTTTCAAGAGATAGCATATGATCAAGAGGCAATCATACTGAAGGAGGTGTGTTGTCCAAGGTGCACTGAAGGAACTGGCAAAGAACAAGGCACCAGAAATTGAGGGAATAAAAATTGAAATCTTTCAAGAAAGTGAGGCAGCACAGGAGGCACTCACTTGTCTCTGCCAAGACATTTGGTAGACAGCTATCTGGCTGACTGATTGGAAGAGATCTGTATTTGTGCCCATTCCAAAGAGAGGTGACCCGACAGAATATAAAAATCATTGGACAATCTCTTTGACATCCCATGCAAGTAAAGTTTTACTAATGGTAATCCAGAAATGGCTGTAAGCATATATTGACAGAGAACTTGCAGAGGTTCAAAAAGAGGCCGTGGAATGAGGGATATCATTGCTGATGTC